GTAAATAATATCAAATAATATATAAATATGAATGATTTTTTTTTGCAAGTTTTATAAATTTTTGAATAAATAGTTGTTGAATTTTTAATGAATGGTCAATAAACTTTTAATGAATAATTTAATGAATAGTTGCTGAATATTTAATAAATTGTTAATAAATTTTTAATGAATAGTTTTAATGAATGATTGTTAAATTTTTTAATGAATATTTAATGATTTTTTAATGATTTTTTTGTGAATTATTAATAAATTTTTATTGAATTGTTAATAAATAATTTTGGAATAAATTTTTAATAAATTGTTAATGAATTATTGCCAGATTATTAATGAATTATTTGATGAATTGTTAATAAATTTTTGTCAAATTGTTAATATGCTGATTTTTTTGATTGCCAAATTTTTGATTGTCAAATTTTTGATTGGTGAATTTTTGATTGCCACTTTATTGCCAAAATAGTAATATGACAAGTGGAAGCAATCGAAAAGAATTTGACAATATTTTTATTATTAAATTTAATCAAATTCAGAAATAATTTAACTGCCGAATGACACAATTTCGACTAGTGATTAGTTCTTCTTCCTTTCAGAACTTTCTTGCCATTGATAGAAAAGGTGTTTTTTGACCTTTATGATCACTAGAAGTCAAGTTTTTGTTTAAAGAGGATAGTAGGCAAGAGGAGTAGTTGATGGCTCTTGAAGCTTCTTCAAGTTGGTTTAAGGAAAATAATAAGACTTTATTAGCTCAGAAGTATAAAGACTTCTTGCTAATGTCTTTTTTGTGTGTGGTCAGGATCAGTGAGTATAAGTAACTATAATTAATTTATAATAATCATTAATACAGATTATAAAATTAACAAATAATAATAAATGACTGTATTTGAATTTTTTCAAAAAAATTTATAATGCTCAAAATAAAATAACAGCTAGTTTAACATCTAATATACTGTATATATTCAATAATATAAGCTCGACTTTGTTAATATTGTAATTTAATATTTTAATAAAACCGATATATTGATATCGACAATACCAGATGCACATTCTGTACAGCATATTTATTTATTTATAAATTAATAGAACGCATATAAGAATTCAAGCCGTACATGATATTTTAGTTATTAATGCAATAAGAGCAACGAAATAATCAGATTAATAAATTTATATTATCCTATTTTTTGCAACCGAAAATGGTAAATTCTTAGAAATTATATCTTTAGGTCGATTTCCAGAGCATATTGTTTAATGCGATTGATCCATGGTTGCTTATTCTCGATATTTTCCTTCGAAGTGTGAATAACTTGCTCCTGATAATAATCATATAACCCCTTTGGCAAGACGAAGTAAAACTTGATGTCCGAGTTATCATCCATGTTGATATATTTTTCCAAGTTACTCTGAATGATAGGATGACTCTTAGCAACGGTCATTTGGAGGAACAAGTCGTGAGAAACGAAAGCATTGAATGATGCGCTATCTTTCTGAGTTGGAATGCAATACTTGTTGGGAATAATTTCATCAATATTATTAAACATTAATTTGTCCTGACTTGGTATTGACACTTTAAGGCCATTCTTCCCAAAGCAAGAGACAGTTTTTGCAGATAAAGGACGAATCCTGAATGATCCACCCTTTAGTAACTTCCTGTGAGCAATTTGCTCGAATACGGCACTCCGGAGTGTACTGTAATCGCTTATTGACGAGTTGCCCTCCACGAAATTCTGTAATTGATCCCTATAATTTTTTATGAGCCTGTCAATTACCCTTTCAGAAACATAGTCGGACGCAAATACTAAAATTGAAGCTGAATAAAAGGGTTTTCTAGTTACGCCTTCAACATATTTTCCCTTATCTGGTCTGATTACGGTAGAAGCTCTTGGTACAGAAGATTCCCCAGGGTTATCTTCCACTCTACTTACTTCTCCTTCGACTATTTCAACTACTTCTGGTACGTTCGTGTAGAAATGAACGACATTATAGATAGAACTATCTTCATTGGTGACTTCTCCAATGAAATTAAATAGCTTATCGTCGACCGAATTAATAGCCATCTGAAGAAGACTTTGTTGAGAATGATTGAGAGCATAAAACAAAGCAAATCGAGGAATTCCTCCCCATTTATTATATAATTCCCGGACATATTCTTTAGTAAGATCACAGAAAAGTACGCTCCTGCAAGTATCTATCTCTGTCCAAGACCATACTGGCATGTATAAAATGGTTGTTCCAAGATTATCAAAATGACTGTAGTAACGTTTCTGGGGAGAGCAGACAAGAATTGTCTTGGCAACGTATTCCATAGGCTCTCTACTATCCACAATATACCAAACATCTTCGTTTCCTAGATAATCTTTGAATGCGTGAATGTTATCCGAATTGTAACTAAAAACGCTTTCCTCGCTAAAGATAATTGGAGACTTGTTTTGTTTGTGATATACAACCGTTTCGCGGCGTTGTGCAAGGAGATAAAGTAAGAAATAGCAAAAGAAGGTTTTCCCGACTCCCGGATTACCAGTAATACGCCAACGACGGATATTGTCATTCTTAAAAATAATATCAGATAGATGGTGATAACATTCACGGATGTATAGAGTGAATATATTGGAACCTCTTTCATCTTTTCCCAGAAGATAGTAAACGTCTTCGGGTGACCTAAGGAACTGTCCATAATCAATCTTTTCTATTTTGCCATTCTTTAAAGCATTCCAGAATTTTCTCAGATTTTCATCATCGCTATCCGACTTTCTTAGCTTATGGGATCCTATATATAAGAAAGGTTTGTAAACACGATGGTACAGGAGAAATACAAAAACTCGCGTCCAGTTGCTATTACAACTCACCGGTAATAATGAGCGGTAGCTGTTCTTTATAATTGAAGTTATAAAGTATGGAATAAATGTTAAATTTAAGGTATTAACATAAAAAAAAGAAAGCAATACATGAACTTCTTGTATAGCTATTTTAATTTATGGATCAGGATAATTACCGGGTGATATTTCAACAATTATGTGAATATGTTGCCTTTTCGGCGACCCTTCCTTCCCTGGCCAATATTCCTCTATATCCTGAGTCGCCAGTAGCTCATCACTACTCTGCGGGGTAAAATTCATTATTAGCTCATCTTGCTTTGCAGGAATATTTGCCTTCCACAACTTAAGATTGTTAGCGTCGACATTTCCAAAGTCGATCGACTTCTCTGCCTTAATAATCTTCTTGAGGTCACCAACTGTCTTTTCTCTTCTAATTTCAACTGGAAAGGCGTGCCTGGTAGCGGGAGCCTTTCCTTTTTCTAAGCAGAAGAGCCTTATTGACATAGTTGTAAGTATACTGTTAAAAAGCTCGAACGTGTTTGTCTGAAAATACGCGTTTAAATTTTGATTGGATAATTGATACGTCATGATGCTGACGCGTATTACGCCTAGATATTATCTGTTATGTAAAAAAAAATTTTTTTGTTAACAGTTATTAATAATACAGTAAACGGAATACGTATAGAATATCGATTGAATTAACTACATGCTAAGAATTATAAATGTTTTACCACAATATTATAAAATCAATTGCATTGCTTTCCCGGAGAACTGTATTTTTAATTTGGTTTGATTTATTTACTCATTTTTTTTTTTTTTAAGATGGGTCTTTTAATTTTAGCGTTTTATAATTAAAGATCGTATTTTTATTGAATATTTTTAAATTTAGTCAAATTTTCGATTTGCATATTTTTCAACGAAATTTCGAGTTCTTAATTATCAATTTTGACCGCATTAGAATGGTGGGTCCAATGTCCTGTCCAGATATTATTATTATTTACACTCTTATCGAAATTTAATAAAAAATTTCAATTAATACATATTCACGGAATCCTGCCTATCTTCGAAATTCCCCGATAATTCCCTTCTCCCTCTCGATCCCGATTGTAGTCCAATCGCCACCATAATCGTGTCCCGGATACACCACAATCCCGTCGTTCAAATTTCCTAATCGATCCCTCAGCGTTTTCCTCATATCTTTCAGATTACCACCAGGCATATCAACTCTACCCACGCAACCACACATTAACGTGTCGCCAGTAAACAAGCGACACTCATTTACCAGGATGGATTGACTGCCTTCTGTGTGGCCGGGCATGTGTAAGAACCGAAGGAGGGTGAGGGAGCCCAGCGTGAGAACAAAGTTATGAGGTGTAGGAATGATTCTGGGCGTGTTTTGTGAAGAGGAAGGTGAGAACAGGGAAGACAGGGAATGGGGAATGTGAATGGAAGCGTTAGATGATGGGGTTGGTTCGGATATTGAGCTTCGACGATTGTGAACCCGCGAATTTTGCTCGGTTAATGAGTCTAATGTCGGATCCAGAATGGGTGATCGGGCGAGAGTTTTAGGTATACCTAGTGGAAATATGGACGAATTTAGATGATCCATAGTAGTCGATTGAGATTCACGGTTTGAGGTGATGGAGTTTAAGAATTTTGCGGCCGACATCATAGGAAAATCATCGTCCTCTGATGCCGTATGGCTCGACTTATCCACGGGCATCACCTCGGCCATACCAGGATTTGCTTTAAATACGTACGGTATATCTTTGGGGTGGATGTAGGCCTTAACCTTCGGGCGCCGTTTCAAAAGGTTAAATAACCCCGATATTTTCATGGGAATATGGTCGAACGGTGGCGGTAGAGATCCTGCGATCGGAAAGAGCAGTTGATCATAGACACGCGAATGAATGCAATGAAGCGTACGACCGGACCATCGTTAAAATTCAAAAACTGTATATACAGTATACAATACCTCCGGCATGGTCAAAATGATAATGAGTGACTATCGCACCTACAAGTTCTAGTCGTTTGTTCTTGATAAATTTCAAGATACCATCGATGTCCCAACACTACGGATCACATTACATTAATTATTGTATATGGTAACGACGACCGAGATAAGAACCCGGCCGGACTCTGAAAAAAAAAAAAATGTTTATCACTCACCGCATCGACCACCACACATTTCCTACTCTCATTATCAATAATAATATAAATCAAATTTTTCATTTTCACTGCAAGATCTATCATCTTATTTTGAATGGGACTGGTGATTGATTTTGAGGTACAAATATCTTTCCCGGGTGTTAATTCGTAGACAGTTAAACCTAGGTTTTTGTGAAATACTATTATATCAGAAAATATCAAGAGAAATCAATTCCAAATAGAAATTTACCCATGGAGTTGTTGTCTGCCAATATTAAAGCTTTCGCTATTCGTAGTGGTATTTGCGGATTTCTTGGATCCTAATTAATTAATGGTAAAGAAAACGTTAGTGGTACCGTTGCAGCCGACATGAAAATTTAATGATGTCGCGTTTCGATTTCGCCTTTATTTTGAGTGCAGGTAAATGGAATTTACCTTTCGTTTGGCAATGTGATAACTGTCTAGTGCTTCATCTATTCTTCCAAGCTGCATCAGTGCCTCCGCTTTCCGAAAGTATCCCTGTTTTATTGGTAAATAGAAGGAAACATGCGCATTATTACATGTGTCATATCGTGCACATACGGCATTGTGTAAGAAGCTCTCTCCCCGAACGATAAAACTTTCTCCGGTGAAGGTGGATATCTTCTCGGTCCTTTCTTACCTTTGGCCAATCTGGACGAATCCTAATAACTTGTTCGGCGTCTTTCAAGGAATCCTCCCATTTCCGACACTGGAAATAATTTGCGCTACGATTGGAAAATATCAATGCTGAAAAATCGGAAGCACTTCCAGGGTTCAAACTTGGTTGAAGCAAAATTAGTGCTTTGGTATACTCTTCTATATTAAATTTCAAGGTGAGATGGGGTGATGAAGAATGAGAAATTATGAATTTTAAAGGCGCATTGAAAAAAAGAAGAAGCTGCACCTAATGCACTTTTGTATTCTTTCTTGGAATAAAGCTCATTGGCACGATTGACAGAACGCAATGCCCGATAATCTGGTGAATTTGGGCGAAGCGCGTTTGAAGAAGGTTTGGATGATGCTGCGATATGTTTTTCCGTTATGCATTGTGACCCCGAAGGTGTGGAAGATTTTGATGAGGATTTTAAGTTGAAGGGCATTAAGCGTAAGTTATTTTTAATAAAGTGATTTTACTTTATTTTATGACGAGTACTTTTGTTGTTCAAAGAAAGATGCTTTCCGAGGGACGAATCTACCCAAATTTATATCTCCGGACGTGAATTTTGTATGACAAGAGATTAACAATTACGAGTAATTTATACTTTTATGTGATGATTGTGTGAAAAATGATAAAAGGGAACGAAGAGAACTTGTTAACTTGTGGATTATTACAATATCTTCCACTCTCTCATTGAGCGATTACGTAAGGCCACCTCACTTTAGAGTTATGCTAATCTATCAGTGCCTTAACTGAAAGAAGTATTAAAAAGCCGAAAATTAATGCGATTACATAAGCCTCTTTATTATTATTAAAAGTTATCGAATGGCTGAAAGCGACGGTATTATGATAGAAGACGCGCTTTTTCTGTGTAAATAAATTATTGATGCCCAAAGATAAGCAGGAAAAAAATGTGATTCAAGTATGGGCGTAAATAAAAGAGATGCAAGAGCAAAAGTAAAATAGGTTATAAAGTTATTTTTAAAATTTCATTTTATGAAAGTTTTTATATCATGGATTAGCATCTGAGAACGTATTCGTGTCATGGCTATTCTATCTATAGTACCATTTTGTTTAGACGAGATACTGACACATGGTAAGACAATTTCGCAACAAAAGTCTAGATTTTTTTGAGATCATCGAATAATGTTTTTTTTTTCCTAATAAAATACTGTCGTGGAACCCGGAAGAAACAATCCCGTCGGGAAAACTTCATATTTCTAGCAAACTAAATTTTCAAATGACGTAAAAAAACACATTGGCATACATATATATTAATCTCATTAACAGCCCAAATCGCGTTTGTTTGCTCGCAATTTTGTGATTGAGATCCTGTCGTGTGTCTGCCTGCATCTTTCACGATACCAATAAGACTCATCCCAAAGGTTATACTGTATAATAAAGTGAACGAAAAAAATTACCCGTGTACGTATCACAAATAAATATGCACTCAATAATTGTCTCATTTACATTTCACAAGCATCTCGCAGGAAGCATTTCATCTATATTTGTGTCACATAATTTCCCGCTTTTCTTGATCAACACTTTCGAATTTTATTTGTCTCAATTCGCATCCATTGGCAACATAGAATCTTCGTGCCATTATTCTTTTTATGGACTTATTCATCGACTTACTTCTATTTGATCTTAAAATGTTTCCATTGTTCTTGATGGCAGACGGATTACCAGCTTCATATTCCAAAAAAAAAAAGAAAAGAAAAAAAAGAATACATGCGTGCGTACAAAATGCATGTATTTGTATGGATTTTCACTTTCATACGTAGTCCGGGGAAGGTTCCCGCGTTGGAACGGAACTCGACGCGGCACCGCTGTCTACGCCTATAGTTTTAATCCATAAAAAAAAAAAAAATGCATAATAAGGGTATATACAAACCCTGCATTAAAGAACTATACACGACAGTACAAATTTTATGCAGCACTGGCCGTAAATTCTCGGTAAAAAATAGTTGAAAAACTGACAGATGAAAGAACTCTAGTGCGTGAATGGGTGCGTGTACATGCATCCTTGAAAAAAAAAGAATTTTCTTTATAATACACATGTTTTGACAAATCTGTGCAACGAATTTCCTCTCTTTTCCTTTTCTTAATCTATTGTGCCTAAAACTTGTACCCGAACTCGTATGAGTGGATGAACATAACCTGACGAGTAACCCGTCGAAAACCCTGATGCATTATTTCGGCGGCGTTATATTCATTTAAAGGTAAAAAAAAAAAAATGGAAATCGCCTAGTGCGTATCACGTACGTGCTACACACGGTACATGTGTATACTTTGTGGAAAAAAGATTCCGGTCACTTCATTCGTTACTCGAGAATCTAAATACAGGTTAATAACTAGTTGCCTTTCAATATGGTCACGAAATACTGTGCATCTTTAGGCATGTTGCCGATCGATTTCTTTTTGGATCCATTCGCAAAACGATCACTAACTCATTCTATTATTTCTTTTTTTTTTATTATTTGTTTGAATTAAATTCAAAAAATTATAAATTATTAAGATTTAAAAAAAAAAAAGACAAAGGTTTTTTTAAAAAGTAAACAAATAAATTATCCTTATTTATTTTAATTTTGAATTTTTAAAAAAATTTTTATTTATTATTATCTATAATATTTGAATAGTCAATTTAACTAGTACTTTATTTAAAGAATCTATAATATAGTGATAGTACTTCTAAATTATAATCACAAAATCCAGAGTTCAATACTATATAAGGATTATGTAAGAAAAAATAACTAGGTTGTATAAGAATAGGACTTCTGATCTTTTTATTGATTGCCAAGCTGAAAATGATCTATCGTAAGGATTGCTATAAAGAAAAATTTCTGATCTAATTATATGAATTATATCGGATATAATTCCCTAAACTAATAGAAAATAAAAATCCTAGAATTTTACATTTAGAACTGCAGTAATCATTTAAATATATTATTAATCTCAAACTGTATTGGTATATCTGAGACCCTATTTTTAGAATTACAATAACTATCTAAACATTCTTTATTCCAATTGCACTAATAGATCTGAAACCCAACTATCCTAATTTAAAATATTTCAATTCTATACTTGTTTAAATAAAGAATCCATTAAACAGAACTTATCTGTAATACTACAGATAGTAACAAAGAGGATAGAAATTCTTTCTAAAGTTTAAATAAAAGTATTAAAGTATCTGGATGGTTAAATAATCCTTAAAAATTTTATTTTAGTATATAAGTTAATATATAGTATAGTAATTAAACTAATATAAAGATTCAAACTAATTATACCAATATTGCTATTAATAATTGAGTATTAACTATATGACTTCTAATTATGTATATACTTTTACTTGAAAAGTTTTAAGTAGATCTATCTAAAAATAGTCTTGATAATTTATCATTAATTTATGTATATATACAGTATATAAATTGATTGATATCAGGTTTAAAATTTAATTATTAATAAAAAGCTTATATTTAATATCAATTGTAATTTAAAAAAAAATCAAAATTTTTTTAATTATCCTTTATATATTCTTCTTGGATCTTCTTTTTTAAGTGTTTTTTATTTCAAAATGTAGACCCAGGATATCAATGTTAAGTTTTTTTATAAGCTTATATAACTTTTGTTGATCTAGATTAATATTAATATCTTTAATATTATATATATCAACTGGGATAGTATTTGTCAATATAAAAATTTTTTATAGTATACTTATTATATAACATATATTAAAATATTCAACTCTTTCCACTGATCCTCTGACTATACACAAAAAAAACATTCACAAGAAGTCTTAATACTGTTATGCTAATAAAGTTTTACTACTTCCTTTAAATCCACTCAAAGAGTTCTTTTAAAACTTCCTTACCTCCCCCTTCTCTTGTTTACAATCTCTTTAGACAAACTGGACTCTTGTGACCTGCAAAGTTCAATTTTTACCTTTACTAACTATGATAAGAAAGTTTCTAAAAGAAGAAGGATTAACATTAAAATACTTCTCACCTTTTAACTATAGTAAAAATAATTAGAGGTTGTATTCCAGACAAAAAATTCAGTTTCTACTCTTTGACTAGTTGTCTTCACCTCTTAGAACTATCTTTTTTGTGACTTTCCGAAGAATTTTACCTATTTTAGTTTGACCCTGAAATTTTAAGTAGCCCAAATCTCATCAACTCTAATTGATCAACACAAAACATGTTAGACAGAATTGATAAACAAGATTCTATTGGTTACCTCACATGTCTGAATGCATTTTCTCAGCTCTATAAAAATCTTGGATCCATTATAAGTTATCTCACTACATGCAGGTAGATACAGGACACTGGTTTATCTTATATCAGTACTATTATGAAAGAGTTTTATCCAACCATAACAAAAACTATAAGATATTTCAATCATTTTGACATTGAAGTCATCTACCTTTGATAACCAAGTAGGTTTTTGTAGCTCATGCAATTAGGTGAAGATCTACTTTTCTTTAAAAATAAAAACAAACAAGGTGGACAGGGATTTTTTTGTAGCTGGTGGGTTTTTTACTTCTGATCTATAGTTTGTGGAAGGACTGCAAACTGAAGACTGACATCAAGCCCCTCAATATGACTCCCTCCAGCATGGCTATATAGGTTACTAGTGGTATCCATCAATCTTACTTATAGTAAGAGTACTCGATAGAAACTATTGCCAGATTGAAAAATCTCCTAGAGACTTAGTCCAATTTTGAAAAGAGTTGTATTTTTTTAAATAAGCAGTATATGCTTGAAGTCGAACATTATCTTTAGGACTAGGTTAACAATCCTTACAGGTTTAAGGTATCTTCCTAATCATAGGTCCTACCTGGTCTTTGAATGAGTAATCCTCTAGGCAGATTTCCAGATAAGATAATTTTGACAAAGCTAGGTTTAGAAACCATTCCCCTCCCTATCCTGAGAAGAAAAAGAAGTAGAAGAAACCCCTTTTCACATTTAAAGATATTGTGATCAAATTTATATTTGACCAGTGTGTTCAAGTGGAATTGTTTTTAAAAGGACAATTCTCAAAGAAGGAATTAAAGAAATGGTTTATAATAAAGAAATATTCAAGAAGAGATTCATCAAGAATCCTTTAAACAATGTCACACAGTATTTCACAAGAAATATAGTTCACTCAGAACCCAAGTTTATTAATAAATCAAGAAAACTAGGACAATTTCTTTGGTCCTAAAATCAAAAAAAGATATTCAATCTCCTAAAAGAAAAGTGAAATTATTCCTAAACTTCCAAAGTCAAATGAAGTTATATTCAAACTTATCCTACTTTTGAGTGAATTATGACTACTTATATACTTGTAAAAATAGGCCACTTGGGCACTTATGCCATTTGAACCTCCTGGGCTGCCTGATTTACGGTAAATTATATCACATGCTATATTTGATAAAGTGATCTATGCTAATCAAGTACCAATAAGAATATCAAAGAATATCAAAGAAATAATTATAAATAAATAGATAAAAATAGAAATAAAATGAAGATCAAGATGAAGCCAACAAAAGAAACTCTTTCCGTCGATCACCCAAACCACAAAATTTCAGAAAGAAACTCAAACAAAATTTCATTCAAAGGCAAGCAAAAAGAGCCTGGAGGCAGTTCCTCCAAGGCTATACATAATGAAAATGAATTCTCTATCTTAGACATTGTCTTAACAGACAATAAAAAACCAAAAATCTCTGCCATATATAAACAAAATAAAACTTCTCTTGTCTACGTAACAAAACCAGCCTCCCACCTTCAAGTCCCTATCCTTCAACACTGCCCTACATCCTGGCTAATTCTAACTATTAACCCTCTCAACTCAGATCCAAATTTAGACCTAAAAATCATCCACATCAAGTTTAAAATTAAATAACAAACTTTATGTGTCTCTTCCCCTTCTCTTAATGTCTCAGCCAAAAGTCTTCCTCACAATAACCTCACTATTCTCAACAAATTCATGGAACATCAATCAACCTTTCATTTATCAGAGGATAATAGAACACTTGCAGTTCGTCAGGTCGTCAAAAATATAATGGATTATAAACTTCACTGTCCTTGGAATCAAATTTCCATTTCCACCGATACCAACTCTAATACTTTTTCCCTCAAAAAAAGGGAAATCTCCATACGTCCTCCAAACACTCCCATACCACAAGATACTAATCAGCAGTCCACAAAGATTACAAATCAAGATTTCCCTTATCCACCTGCAGCTAAACTAACTAATAAGGAAGGAGATCAACCCCTTAATAATAACAAATCAGGCAATTTTCCTAATGAGAGCACACCTAAATACACCAATCAGGTTCAATCTCCCTTAGATCAGAATACAGCCACAGAGATAGAAATCGATTCCAGCAATAAACAAGTAACTTCTCTCTCATGAGCCAACGAAATTGAAGACACTTTTGGTTCTGAAGACATTAAAAATACAAGCCCACCTGACTACCAATTCTCTATTACTGAAATGGTGGCAATCATTAATAATACCAATCTCTCACCAAAATCTCTTGTGAAGATATTCATAAAAATCAGAAATCTTCCTCGTATTCCACCCCCAAAGACCTTATCAGCAGTTCTCACAAAAATCTCATACAAAGATAGAGCGTTCTTTAGATCCTTCGCCAAATCTGAAGAGTTAAAAGAAATCTATCAAAGAGAATACGAAAAGCTAGTAAAAGACTTCCAGACTAACTACCTCAACAAACATAACATTGGCTATATCAACAGGACCACCAAAAAAAAATCAACATTATCATCAACAAATCTATCTTTGCTATATATCTTCGAACCTTAGACCTCCATACTCTTCGACACTGGCAAGTTGCCCAGATCCTGGAATATGGCTTCAATTACTTTATCGACCCCTCCACAGAGAAGATAAACTATAAAAAACTCCTGATGTACTCAAAAGAACTTATCAAAAATGTTCTCCCAAAGCTCCCCAAACATCTTAATAAAATCCTCTCCAGAATCAAAATCAAATTGCCCTATGCTCTCTCTCTAGAGGCCCCTTCTATGACCGCTACAACAGCTCGAGCATTGAGATGCTTTTATAACTTTGATCTTTTACCTGAAAACTTCTTCAAAAAACTACCAAATCTCCCATCTGATTTCCGGAACCTTCCCTCTAAATTCAAATCCATTTTTCCCATCACAGAACAGGTACAACTTCACATTCTTAAACAATTAGTCAATCAACTACGTGAAAAGTTCTATGTTCCCAACAAACTTCCAGATGAATATTTCGATCTTTCCCCTCCAAAAATCAATCTTCCTAATACCTACCAACAACCTTCTCAAGATTTAGCTTCTCTATTTCCCATACCCAATGATATTCATCACATTAAACAAGTCTTAAAAACCTTACGAGATAATAGTTATGCCTTCAAATTACTTCCAGAAGATTACTTAATCCAAA